AATGCATGATGAAATAGGTGCTCTTGTATTCACTTAAAAACTGCTGTCAGGAAAATATTTCCAGCCCCTCTTGCCCGTTTGAAGCATGAATATCATTGATTAGAATGCATTTATGCTAGTGTAGCAGCTCCCTCTGGTTTCTTGCAGACCAAAGAAGTTGATCTGCTTTATACAATTTTATACTTTCAATACATATTTTCCACTTTAAAAAGTCAGATTTAGATCCCATGGGAATGTCTTCTACTGTAAAAATGTATAATACTCATAACTGTAGGAAATGTGTTCATTTCTACAGAAGAGAGATGAAAGTGGTCCATGCAGTATAGAAATGAGTAATTTCTTCCAGTAGAAAACTCCACTTTTAATAGTTTCAATAGCAACAGTACTCCTACTCTACAAAGCTGCTCTTTAAAACCAAAAATTACTGGTTAATCAGTCTTATTGTGCAACGTACTTTATCTTTCATTTGATAGATATTCTGCAGTTTTGGACTCAAGAGTGACTGGCTTTTTATCAGGCATTTAGTGTGAAGCATCTACAGGTATTACAGCTTGCTTATTTATTTTAGAACAGTGTGTTAACCTATCAGTTATGATGGGTTGTATGTGCTGACCAATGCCATATGTAACAATGTTTGATGAACCTCTTTGATAATCAGAATGGAGATAATTGCAAAGAGAAAAGACTTGGAGGCTCATGAGATGGTGAATGTAGTTCTGCAGTGCAGCCTGCTGAATGAACAGTGTGTTAAAATCCTCTCAGTGCCAAATAGCAATAAAGTCTGTAGGCTTTTTCATCTCCTATTAGCTTGGGAAACTGAAGTTTCTTTTCAGATGAGCTTGGCAATGACATACAGGTGAGATGCTCTAGAAAAAAGGTACAGGCTTTAAGAGAAGGGAGATGTAATACTTTTCTTTTTCTGCTGATAAAAATTTTCCCTGTCATCATCTTTGACTTCTTTTTCACTCCATTCATTGTGTTCTTTGTGCTTATTTGTTCTTACATTTGGTCCAAACCACAGACTGAGTATAGTTGACAAGTCCATGAGTTTGTTCCTCTGTAGCTTTGCGGGTTTACTCTTGCAAGTATTCATATGTTAGCTCTGCACTTACAGTAAACTTCTTCAGATCCTGTGGCTGTTCTTGCTGTTAAGTGTTCATAGAAACGGTTCATAAAACATACCTGCTCAAATACTATGATTAAAGATCATTAATAAAACCCTGCTGTTTGCTGTAGAGCTGTAATGGCTACTGGCTTGTACCCATACAAGGCTTTACATGGCTTTTAGTCAGTTCAGGTATAGAATACTGTTATTTGCACCTTCCATGTTTACGTGCTTACTGCTGTCACAAAGGAAATAGTCATGAGATGTTACTACCTGTGTGAGAAGTGGATGGAGTCATTCTGTGTATGTTCTGTATAGCAGAGAAGTTTACAAAAACACCATTATTATTTGAGATTAAAGTAATTGGCCTTCAAAAGCTCTTATTTCATGTATGACAGGGTAACGAACTGCTGGGAGGATAGAAGAGACAGGATTCTTCTCGTTCACTTTGAGACATTTACAATGGGGTTTTCTAGAACTTAACTACTAACCAAGGGCCCTTTATCATCAATGGAGAGAATCTGTTGGCTTTTGGACCTCATTGAGACATCTGCTTTAGGCAAAGCAGAGTCACATTCTAGGATGCCTGGTTTCTCTTTTTCATCCCTGCACTGATAGTAAGGATACCTCTTACATGCAGATATAGCAAGAGGAGTATGATGGGTGGTGAAGGGCAAGAATGCTGTTCTCAAAGCCTCAGCATTGCATTTGCATGTGCCTGGGTGCTGTCCCAATGAGGGGTTGGGTGGCCCTGTCATATGTGAGTGCGATTGCCTTTATTTCTGTGCCTGACAGAAGACTCTGGGGCATACATGATGAATGTGTAAAAGGACATTTTGAAATACAACAGCCAAGTTTCATTAAAAATCATAACAGGAGGAGTAGACTGCTTTATCCTGTGGCTCAAAGAAAGGATAATTCCCTTTGGGTGTGGCAAGTGCAGGCAAGTGCTCTGTACAAGGCAGCTCACATCAGCCACAAATGTGTTCTCAGCGCTTCTTCTGTAAGCTGGTCTGGGCTGGTAGGACTCTGCTTTGGAACTGTGTCACTTGACACAGTTGCCTGAGTCACATAAAATAAAACTGGATCCAAGATTATGTGCTTCCCTCAAGGAGTGGAGCCCTGGGCTGCTGCACTGCTGTGAGAACTATTTCTACAGTTAATGCAGTGCTCGGATCCAATTCGATCCAATGTGTTCCTACTCAGATAGATGGTTTAATGGCTTTGCTACAAAATGTGCTCCTTACCGTTTCCCTCTGACTAGCTGGGAAAGCTGAGGTCATCCTTAAGCCTGGGGCTGTGGTTTTGCACCACAGAGAACGTGAAAAGCAAATCCTTTTTTACTGCTTGCCTTTCTCTCTCTTCCTGTGGCATGCCTTTTAGCACGCAGAATGACAATTATTAGGAATTTATTCCTAGTAATGAATACAGAGTGCTAACTCTGTAGTTGATGTCAAGCGGAGCAATGAGTGTGTCGGCATGCTGCCTCTGTGCTAACTGCTGCCTTGCTGACATCTGAGAAAGGTGGTTCCATATGTGTGGTGCTCCATTTTGCTGAAACTGTACGTGGCAAGTTTGGAGGTTGATAAGCTGCTTGGGGCAGCTAAGGAATGGCTGCAGACAGGAAGAAAGTAACTTGAGATGAATTTCTTCCTATAACTCAAAACTGCAAGTGTTTTTTGAAAGAAATTTAATACATCATCTTTGTTGTATGTAAGCTTTGTTTTGTTAAAAATAGGGCAAACTTATAATAGAATTTGATCACCCTGACTGGAGCATTGTAAAGAAGGGGCCAGGCATTAAGTAGCTGATGCCTAAATCAGGGGAAAAGCTAGCTTCCCTGACATTAGGGGAATGAATTTTTAAAAGCTATTCATTGATATCTGACAAACAGCTTGAAAGGGATGCCAAACCCTCTGGGTCTCTGCTAGGAGCTTTAAAATACATTTGCATATTTTCTGCATAGAAACAGGATTTCGTTCTCTGTTGCTAAACTGCAGAACTAAAAGGATGCGAAAACTCTATCTAGTCCAAAGGGCTCGGAGGGGAAACTTCATAATCAGAATTCAAATGTGCACAACAGATTAGGAAAATGACTTCAAATAGGATTTCAACAATATCCAGGAGACACCCATAAATCCTGAGCAGGCTGCTAGGCAAAATACTGCTTGTGCCATTGTTAAAAAGCTCAGTTTCTTCTCCTGGCATTTCCCACCTGAAAAATAACTTGCTGATGTCAAATGATCAGATTAGAGTTAGTGAAGGTGCTGCCGCTTAGTTTTATCCATATCAAATACAAGTTTTCTGAGAATTTTGATCTCTCTTTCTCAGATTTGAAACAATGTCTGAAATATCATTGCAAATAGGCAAATAGGATCAGTGGTAAAGGAATAAAAAAATACGGTGGTCCTCTGCATACGGCTAGTGCACCCAGTGTGCGTACGGCTAGAGCACTCCATGGTCCAGCTCATTGGTGCTTTGATGTTCGTCTTGGCTGTGCCATTTACTGTGTTGTAGGTTGGACCAGAAGGCCCTGGGCTGGGAAAGGAAAGCAGGTCCCATGTGGGAATGAGCAGCAAACAGCAGTGTATGTAGAATCTGTGGTGACCCCTGGTAGGTGGGTGTGATTCTTGCTGATAGGCTTCAGTTGGGTGTTGGACTGTGGAGCGGTGTGTTTGGCACATGGTTAACCCTTTGGCATCCCTCACGCTGCTGTTATGCCTGCTGTTTGCATTCAGTGTTTTCCTCATTCCACATTTTATCCGTCTTTGCTGTAAGAGGAAAATACTTGTGAAGAGAACAAATCATTTGGGGCCAAGACTGTGCTTAAAATGCAGGTGGTGTTTTGTTGCCAATGTCCTTCATATCACAGGCTAATTACGCTTTTGTCATCTGAAGAGAAGGAAGCTTACAACTGCAGAGCAATTGATGACAAGTGAAAGTCCCACATCATTTTTACCGTATGGGTTTACTTTCTGGTTGTTATCCCACCCAAGCAGCAATGTGGATGAAGTTCTCATTAGTATTAATGGAAAGCTGCCATTTAGTTTCCCATGCGTCCAGCAAGCAATAGGCTTCCATTACATATATGTGATATTGCCATCTACGTGATTGATTTTGAGTTGCAGTAGTGGATGTGGTCAAGGGAGGAGTTAACTCTTTCCATGAACGCCTGTAATAGTCAGGACTGTCTTTGAAGTAACTAAGAAGAAAATCAGTGTAGATACAGTTAGATGACAGCCTGTAATGATTATGATATGGAGCAGTTACCTTATCTGTGATTCAGATTGTGAATTTTTGCAGTATCGGTGAGGCTCAAGGACTGTAGTAAAGGATTGGTATTGTATGTATCCTGTGGCTGCAAAGGGGCTAGTGGCCTGTGCCTGGCTGTACCATGGGACAGGAGAGAGTGCTGGGATGGCAGCCTCTCAAGACTTGTGCAGAAGCAAAGCTACCAGGTTTCCAGTTTTTGCCAGTTAAATTCCTAGTTGTCTAAGATACACAGGGCTGCTTGGGGCAGAGATTGTTCAAGTACATCCTCTTCTACTGTGGATCTGTAACTTACGGTCTGGCAGAGATGCTGAAGCTGATGAAAGTTGAAGGGCATCAGTTTCAGTGCATTAGAAATATTAAAGCATTGTTTTGAACTTTGCTTCACGAAGGTGGCTCTCTAATAAAGACAATTTTGAAATATGTTCCATGATTGGAAATATTCTGTTCCAATTTCTTGAAGTTTAAAACAAATATCCTGCCTTTTCCAAGGGCAGCAATTATGTAGGAGTATATTTGTGGCAATTTTATAAGCATTATTTTTGATATTGTTGGGTTCTGTTTTCAGTAAATAGGGAAAACTTTTAATTCTCTTTTCAACCTGGTTTCCGTATTTTGTTTCCAGCAGAATCAAAATGTCGGACAAAAGTGATTTAAAAGCAGAACTTGAGCGCAAAAAGCAGCGCTTGGCTCAGATAAGAGAAGAAAAGAAACGGAAGGAAGAAGAAAGGAAGAAGAAAGAGGTAAATATGCAGGAGTGCCTTTTAAATAGCTCATGCCTGCAGAAGGGTCTCGCTGAGGTTTTGACATCTCAGTATTGTATACTCCAAGGTAACTGTCATGTGGGATGAGATCTCCAAAGCCACATCAATCTAACCTTAAAATCAAAATGCTTATTTTTAGCCAAGAAAGTTGGGGTGAGGGAATTGCTTTTAAAACTAACATGCTGTCAGATGACAACAATTTAGACAACATGATGTGTATGTGTGTGTAGAAAGAAAAATTGATTTGCCACAATGCTTTTTGCTGGGCTTTGCTTCAATGGAAAGGGAGTGGAGAGTGCAGAAAGACAGAAAAAGGTCTCGAGTTTTTTCGAGCTATTACAATCTAAATATGTATTTTCTTCTCTGAAGACCAGCTTGATTACTGGCTAAGGTAACAGATTTACAATTATTATTCTCCAGTAAAGTAAAACATAATTGCAATTGCATTTTCATCTTCTGGCATGGGTGCATCCTTCAGTTCTGTTAAAGTTTGATTGACATATTAGTTTATTTGTCCTTGACAATATGCATTAGATTTTTCATTAAGGGATTTGTACTTCTTTTTATTCATTCACTTAGTGGAACAGAGGTGAGAATTGACAGGGAGTGGATATTCATTTTCATGCAAAGTCAGAGAAGCATTAAGTGATTATGTTTCCTTTCCTTCAAATGTCAACACTTACTATTGTTTAAAGCACCTGTTATCCTTTACTAATAACTGGTTTCCTTTTAAACTGACACTTTAATATTGTACATGAATTTCACAGAATTACTGTGGAAATGTGATGTGATCCAAGAAATCCATGTTTCAGTTTTGGTCATTGTTTTTGTCTTTTTTCTTCTGAGACATTTTTGTGCAATTACCAGCACATATCCCAGTGAGGCTCCTAGAGTCACTGCGTGAGTCCTCTGTAAGCAGAACTTTAGATGTTAGTATTTTCAGTGTTCAGCACTAGCCTGTTAATGAATTAAAGAGATGGGAGGTAAGCCAGTGGCCAGAGGAAGCTACTGAGTTCTTTTCTTTGTTCCCTGCCTGATTTTACATCTTGTGGAGATCCTGTTGTGGTTGGAATGTTCCACTGACCCCAGTAGCCAGCTCTAGGCACTGAGTCTAACCCATGGAAGCTCCATGAAGTGTCCTGCACAGGTGCCTTCCAACCAGTACCGTTCTGTGATTCTGTGAAGATGTAGTTGTCTAAGCAAAGATGTAGTTGTCTAAGCAAAGAGGAAGACATCTGGTGGACTGTTAATTTTGGCTGTCAGTGTCAGGGGCTGCCAAAATACTGTTTTAAAGTATTAGTCCTCTTCTTTGCTCCTGTTTGATGCTGAAGTTCTGAGACATTTAATGAAGTTCTAAGACAAGTATTTTTACTGCCTGCAAGTGCTTGGGACCTAATGTAGGCCCTCAGTCTACATCACCAAAGTCCAATGGAATTTTATTTCTTGATCCCTGAGGAAGTAGGGATGGGGTAATTTTTTAATCAGGTTCATGATATCTGTTTTTCTATGGTCAGTGTCCATGTTCGCTGAATAAGTCAGCACACTGGCATTTTCAGTCTGTCAAGTTGTGGTATGTGGGGTCAGAAGAATGCTTTGGCTACCATTTTTCTACAGAGTAACTGCATCTGATATGTGAGAGGCAAAAGATGTCCATTAGCATTCCGTAAAAAATACTTGCAAAGATCAGTTTTCTCAGGTAGTCAGGCAAAAGTATTGTAACTAACATATAAACAGTATAAATTAGCTACCTAAACGTTCTAAGTGAATTTTGAAGTTTTCCTAATCAATGGTGAATATTCTTCACACACTTAATTGTTAGAGCTGATTATATGTGGATGATTTTTTTTTTTTTTAATTGAGGCTGATCTACAGCAAAAGAAGGAGCCAGCTCAAGAAGATTCTGACCTAGACCGCAAGAGAAGAGAGACAGAAGCTTTGTTGCAGAGCATTGGCATATCCCCAGAACCACCTCTAGGTATTTAAGAGAAGCATACTGTAAAGCATTCAGCTCTGCCACAATGAATGCATTCTTCTATTAAAGCATGCTTTGCTTTTTTTGATTTTTTGGCTGTATTAGTGAAGTGAACTCTTCTGTTTGAATGCCTACCATATCATTCGCATACAGTTCTGTGATTCTGTGATATACCAGCTCATGGCATTTTGAGTACTTACCATTGCCAAAAACATCTGTTTCATTTCTAGAAGAAATTTTTGCATTGCGGATTGATTTTGCATACCAGTAATGATTTCTTTTCTGATGGACTATTAGATCTTCTCTCACACCTGATGATCCACAAGTAATATAATAAACGCTGCACTTCATTAGCCCCAATCTTTGTTTCATAAATACAAGCATTTGCTAAGGAAGGTGGAACATAGTTATGTGGGGACTCCCATTTATTTCACTAAAATTCAAGCAAAATGGAGAGAGAAAATAAAAAGGCAAATCACAGTGATCAGAAAGCTTATCAACAGATTATTTTTGTGGTATTTTGGACATGGCTGTTCTGGTATTTAAATTCTAGAATCTAGAGTCCTCAGTTTAAGAAAAATACATGGGAAAATACTATCTGAAATACTTGATTAAGTTCTATCTGATGTATTAGCTGGCCCTGAAGTGAGAAATTTCCTTCCTTACTTCCTTCCTTTTTCTCTCCTCCCTGCCTTGCCTTGCCCTGCCCCTCTTCCTCTCACTTTCTCATTCCTTCTCTTTCAAGTGTTTTCCTCTCCTTTGAATATAGAATCACTCTCATTGTTTTAGCAGAAATATTGGCACCTCTGGAGGTGTCATTAAGTTCTTTGGCATTGAGACTAGGATTTTACTCCTAAATACTCTTGCCTGTAATATTTAGGGAAAAGAAAAGAAAGCAGAAGCCTTAGTTTCAGAAAGCACTTGCATAGTTCCTCATGAAAGTAGATGGTGACATTCTGAATCATGAATTGAGGAATTCAGTCCCGACCTTGCATCAACCGACATTTTCTGGGACAAGTTGCCATTTTAATAACCTATAATCTACCGATTGGAACTTTTAAATACTGCTTCTCAGTAAAAATGTCTGCCGAGTAACTGTTGGGTTATTTTAACGTATCATAAAATATGCTTTATAAATAATCTAGTGGTGTATATACAAATACATCACTTCAATACATTTTTAATATTTATGTGTGTAGAATATTCATATTTATTTTAAAAAATGTGGATGCATTTCCTTATATAATAAATGAACACTTATTAATGTTGCAAAATAATAGTTCTTACCTTAGTTAACTATTTTCTTTGTGCTATCTGAAGAACATAAAAATTCACATGTAAGATGATCTGAATTAAGCAGTAGTAGTCTGTCCTCCTTCATTCCCTTTTGTATACACTGACAATTAGTATACAAAGGAAAGCTTAATTCTGCCTTCACATATGATGCCCAGATCCCTCTGTGAACGTGGAATACATAAAGTGCCATGCCATACCTGTAACCTGCCAAAGGGCTGTCATGAAGATGAATTCACTTTCCATGCTGCATTCATTTGTGTGACAGTCTCTAGTAAGAATCTGCATGAAATGTTTGACCACATGGAAAATCCAAGTCTCTTGACAGGTCTGTCATTATACATTATAGAGCGTAACAAAATAGTTTAAAGTTTCACTCAGTTAAATCTATAAAAAGAAATGCACATGATTTAAACCAAATGGGAAACCTCACTGTTGCATTAGAACTCCTTTTTGTGTTTTATTCAGTGTGGCTGCTTTGAAGAATACTTGTGCTAAATCTTGACTGGAGCCATTCCTGCACTTTAAATATTTTTGAGTAACCATTTTAAAAGAAATCAGGATACTTCTACTTTTTTATTTGTTATTCCTTGCTGAAGAGCTTAAACTTGGGCTGACCTTGAGCTGTGATCTTCCTTTCCTGTTAAAGGAAACAAGGCTGGATTTGCATGAATATGCTTCAAAAGCCCTAGCAAACCGAAGAGAAAATCATTTCTAGAGAGTGCAAATAGTATCTAAGCCAAGGGAAATATTTCCTTGAGTGTGGAAATCGTATATCATCCAAAATGGCAATCTAATACAACTTAAATTATTTAAGAAAAGATGTTTGCTAAGCAAATTAGTGCGTATTCTCACCATCTTTGGGAAATGATTTTAACTTAGCTGGATTTCCTTATTTAACTTTTATTTTGGATGCCATTTCTGCACTGCAGTCTTAGAACATATCTAATGGGCAGCGGCTTTTAATTTAAACGGAAAATTTGAGAAACTTGCTTGCTGTTTTGCCTCTGTGGCTACCAGAAGAGTTCACTTAGATTTCTGACAAGACGAGCCCCTGGTATTTCTTCATACGTTTAAAATCTTTTGCAAGTCAGCTTTAAAATACAGCCAAGAAAAAACTTCTGTTTCTGCAGATCTCCGCCACTGATTAGTTGTGGAATCACATTGGGCTTTTAGTCCTGTCTAAATTCATGTCAGTTTTAACATTTCCAGAAGACTTAAAATTCACTTGACTCTCTTCCTTTTCTTTTTCTTTCCTTTCCTTATTTGCTTTCACCATTTCAAACTCTCCTAATCATTCATCCACTGTCATTTTGGTCCATTGGTTTTGATTTGTCTGACACTGCTCTTCATCAGTGCAGTCGCTGCATGTGTTAACATGGGATACCTGTTATTTTCATTATTTAGTCCCAACCCCTATGTCTCCCTCTTCGAAATCAGTGAGCACACCCAGTGATGCAGGCAGCCAGGACTCTGGAGATCTGGGACCCATAGGAAGGTAAGACAGTGGTGTTGAATAAATGTGTTTGTTTGCTTCACTTTTACTTCCCCCATTTTTCTTTCCGCTTCCATTAATAAGAACGTGCTCTATCTGATGTGTGCTTTTGTTTGTGCATTTTCCACACCATCCAGTCAGACTGGTCTCAGACATGAGGTAGATAAGCATACAGAGCAAGCTGGTGATAAGTGATAGGTGCCAGAAGCTGTGTACTGGAAGCAAGAACTGAACTCATGCATCTAAAGAAGCCCACAGAAATCTGTCGTTCTTTGTGGATATATGCTAAAAATAGAGGAAGTGCCCTGTTGTAGACCCTGTTATTCATGTGAGTAATCTTTGTGCCTACAACCAATCCCTTGTGAAGTTTTGTTAACTGTTCACATGTGACACCAAGCTGTCTTGGATTCTTGTACTGCTGCTCATTGTTGTGTGCGGCACTGACAGTGGTGGGGTAGAGCTTGTAAAGAAGCAGGCTGAAATTCCTCAGAACCTCTTGGCAATCCTCTCTTGGAAACTGTAGTTATCAGATTGTTTTGTGTAAGGTGGGAGGTAAGCAGCTCTCTTCTTGATGAAAAGGGTGGTGTGTGTGTAAGGGATGGGCACAGGGGCAACCTTATCTTGGTTTATATGACTGAAATTGGAGATGCAAGTGGCAGTCTGTGAATAATTTCTAATTTGGAGTAAAAAAGTAACAAGGATGCTGCTAAAAGTAAGAAGGATGCTGGTGCTCACAGAGGAATATGTTCAAGTAAGAAGAGTTTGAAGCAACTATACTCTGTATTTTGAAAAATGTAAAACACGGGTCTTAATAGCTCTTTTGTATTAAACTTTCTCAAAATAAAACCAGCTTACCCAAATCTGTGAGCCAAAACCTCTGCTAATAGCATGAAAACTCACTGATTTCTCTCTGCAGTGTACAGTTTTCAGTGCTATACTTTTACATGCATAGTCAGGTGCTGTACTTCTACATACATAACCAGTAATGTTACAGAGCTTGGATTACTAGATTTGATTCCCCACCAGCTTTCTGGTTAAAAAAAAACCACAGTTCTGTAAGCTGAAAGTACATTGTATTCCCCTTCAGCCTGATGCAGACACTGTCCATGGAGATGAGGAAGTTGCACAACTGTTTCTAAAAGCTGCTCAGCCCTCTAGAAGGGATGGAGGTTGTTAAGTAGGAAAGCTCTAGCCTATGAAATATGGCAGTTCAAAACATGTAAAATAATGTAATGCTATATTTATAAACAAAATCAGAGTTCAAAAGTTGTTTTTAAGCAAAGTGTAGACTGCTGTTCACTCACTTGAAGAGGAAAATATTAACAGAGCTGTCATCACAGGAGGTAAGCAGGATAAAGTCACCTTTGCTGTATTCTGCCAGAGGAATGCCAAGACATTATTTCTGATTTATTTTGATTATGTGCAGATGCCTGTTTATCTGTATAAGGAAGGTTATTCTTCCTTTTATGTATCCCTCCATCTTGCTTTCTCCATGAAGAGGGTACATTGGCCATGTCATCTCTTATGCCTCAGTTATAGAGGAGATTCAGGTAGGATATTGGGGAAAATTTCTTTTTGGAAAGAGTGTTGTGGCACTGGAAGAGGCTGCCCAGTGAAATGGCAGGGTTGCTGCACCTGGCGGTGTTCAAGAAGCATGTAGATGTTGCACTGAGGGATATGGTTTAGTGGGAAATATTGGTGGTATGTGGACAGTTGGACTGGATGATCCTAGAAGTCTTTTCCAACATTAATGATTCTGTGGCTGAAAGACGGTTTAACACAAATAGCTACCCTAAATGAAGAATCACAACCAAACCATGAAGTCCACCTTTCTCTAGTGTGATCAACCTCCCATGGAAGTGTGTATATTTGGAACTGAGGTTCGTGGTCAGTGGGCATGGTGGGGATTGGTTATAATTGGACTAGGTAATCTTAGTGGTCTTTTCCAGCCTAAATTATTCTATGATTTTACGCATGTGAGATCTCCCCCTTTTTATCATTCTGCTGTAAATTGGCTGTGAAATTGTAGACTGAGCATAGACTCAGGAGGAGAGCAGATTAATTCTAGAACTGCTAATGCCCAGTCTCAGAGATCACAGCTCATCTGTTGCAGTTGCTGCTGACACAGCTGCAGGAAGAACTGGTGCATACAGGCTGGCAGAACAGAGCTACACAGGCTGAAGGCAGACTGATTATTTATTGATGAAGTGATTTCCAGAAGAAAATGTGGATATTTAAATAATAATAATAATAATAATAATAATAAGATCTGTAAAATCATAGGTTTTGGTTTGGTATAGAAGATAATGCTTTTGAGAGAAGCTCTGCTGAGAGCTTTGAGGAAAGCTAGAGATGTTTTTGTGGTCCCATGTGAGCACTGGTTTCTGGTGCAGAACTAGGCTGTGTTCATACTTTGATGGCACATGATAGTGATCAGACTGAATCTATTGGTCCTAGTATCACAAGTACACCTGAGGTTTGTTTTGACTGGCAAACACCTGTGATTTCTTACAGACCATTGAGCATTGTGGAGCTAAATCTAGAAATCCAAATTTCTGACATCTGCTTTTTAGGAAGTTAGTTGATAAGTAGCGAGGGTTCAGGCAGATGGTGCGACGTAGTTTTTGTCCTGGTACCAAGGATCTAGTTCTACCCTAGTTAAGAAAATGAAAACTAGCTGGTAACTTGCTTTCTTTGTATAGAAATTATATGAGGAGCAGAAGGGCTCATGTAGACAGTGCTTAACAGACAGCGAATTGTTTGTCATTGGAGCTGGCCAAATATAAAACAAGGAAAACTGTAAAAATTTAATGACAAGACAAATTAATCACTAAAGCAATTTACTTAAATACTCTATTGGATGTTGTATCACTGGGCATTTCTCATTCAGGCTAATGTGCCTGGCCGACAGGCAGATAATAGCTCCAACAGTAATTCATTCAGAAGAGCCGTACAGCTTTTTGTTGCACAGGGAGAAAAGCCGCGTGGTCACAATGGTCCCTTTTGGTATAAGATCTATACGCTGGTAGTGCTGCCATCCAGCAGCACCATTGTCCATTATCTCTAACATAATAGCTAGAGCAGTGCTGCCTTTTCCCTGATGCCATTAAGCTTATTAGGATAACGTGTGGGGCGGGCTGTGTAATAACACTAAATTATGGAACCATTTCTGTCCTGTGTAGTACAGGTTTTATGTGTGTTTTTTTTTTTTCTTTTTTTTTTTTTTTCTTGATCTTCAGTACCACATGGCTATTTGTCATAGCCTTTTCACCAAGGATGATGTTAGGTTTCGGGAGTGTTCCAACTTCTGGTACGTGACAAGACATTATGATAGCAACAGTAACAATGTACAGATGTTAGATAAATGGTGCTTGAAACTGCTGGAAGTTTCATTTCCAAATGCTTCCATTTGGACAGGGCAGCCAATATTTTTGTTTATCATTTTTTGGTTGTGATGGGGTTTAATTCCAAGCAGGCAGAAATCTGTTATAGAATCACAGAATATCCCAAGGTAGAGAGTAGCATCGAATCCAACTCCTGGCCTCACACAGGAGCACCCCAGAATCAGACCGTATGTCTGAGAACATTGTCCAGATGCTTCTTGAACTCCAACAAGCTCAGTGCCGTGACCAGTGCCCTGGGCAGCTCGTTCCATCCCCACCACCCTCTGGTGCAGAAGACCCTTTCCCTAAGCCCCAGCTGTCCCTCTCCTGGCACAGCTCCATGCTGTTCCCTCAGGCCCTGTCACCAGAGAGCAGAGCTCAGCGCTGTGAGGAGCTGCAGCTGCCATGAGGCTTCCCCTCAGCTCCTCTGCTCTGGGCTGAGCAAACCCAGGGACCTCAGCTGCTCCTCATGTCTTCCCCTCCAGACCCTTCACCATCATTGTACTTCGATTCTGGATCCATAACTGTAAAGCTTAAAAAAAATAGATTTTGCATGTGCTACTCTTAGTTACTAGACTGCTCTGAACAATTCATCAGAGCCCAGTTGTTGCACAGAGAGCAGCTTGCCTGTTTCCACATATTTGCACAGGGTTGACTATGTCAACCCTTTGGCTGTGGTGCATAGATAGGAATATTACATCACAGCCTCAACTCTGGATAGATAAGTTATTAATTCACGGGGCTTTCTGTTACGGCATGTTCAGACATGACTCATTTACCACAAGGCAGCATTGCAGGATCCCATTGAGATTCTGCTATAATACAGTATACTCTGCTTAGTATGCTCAGAGTGAGTATTTTGTTCAGTGACATTGATGTCCCACGTTCTTTTGCTAATGGTCAGGTTATATAGCTGTGCATATCAGAAATGGAGATTTCGGCCAACTGAGGGCTGCTCTCAGTGATGTTTGCTATTTCATTATGCTGTCCCACAACGTCACAGGTGGATGTTGGTGGTTGGGCAGTAGAGGTTGTAGCTTCCCACCAATATCCCATTACATTTTGTTCCCGTGTGAGGGATGGTAGCAGAGGGGCAGTCTGACACAATGGCATCTGATGGAAATGTACATGAAGCAGAGGTGTGGAATTGAATTTCTCTATGCAGACAAAATGGCACCCAGTGACATTCGTTGATGCTTGCAGAATGTTTATGGACACTAAATGTGTTGTGTGCTTCATGAACGTGAGCACAGGGAAGTGGTGGTTCACCTCCACTGGTGCAGATGCCTATAAGTGCAGCACACAGGCCCTTGTTCATTTGCAAAATGCATAGCAAATGGTGGTGACTACACTGAAAAATAGTGTTTTGTAGCTGAGAATTTGCTCTTTCAGTTAGTGTTATTGTGCTTTTTATTGAAGTTTTCATGGAAATAAATAGGAGGAATTACTTTTGGAGTGGCCTACATATGTATTCCTGTCACCTGCAGGGTGTGTGTGTGCTCACCATAGTGTACTGCACACGTGGATGAGTTCTATTTGTGGAGCTAGGTGTGATTTAGCTGTGTGGTCCATTTTTCCTTCTCTCCTTCACTACTTCTGTGCATTGCCCAGTTGGATTCA